ATATGAATTATGTAACTATGTATAAAAATGTATGTATAAAATAGATTTATTTTGAATATTATTTATTCTAATATTATTTATTAGAAAACTATTATTACGAAATGTGATGAAGTCAATATCATAGTTTTAAAATTACTAAAAAATTATTTCGGAAAAAGACATATCACATATTAATGTATTATTATGTACATTATACATATGAATAATTTTTATAGTAATATTCAATTAACTTTCATTTTTTATACAAACAAAATACATTTTGTAAAAATATTAATATTGTTATTATAATATTTAGTAATAATTAAAAATTATAAGAACAATACAAATTGTAATTGAAATAAAATTGAAATGAGAAAAATCTATTTTTAGAAGAAAAAATAATATTTAATATAGAAATGAAGAAATAAATGAAATATTTTAAAAATTTTCATAAAACATTCTCAAAGCTATTATAAAGTTCTTAAAATAATAATAAAACTGGTAGTAATTATAGATTATAATAACACATATATCCAGTATTAATATTAAATGATCAAATAGTCTTATATTATACATTATGAAAATCGATATAATAATAATTGAATAATACTTGTTTGATATCATAATAAAGAAATTGCTGATTATAATAAATATAGCTTTAATAACATTTTTTATTTACAATAACAAAATAATATAACTATAAAATTATTAAATTTTTTAATAGAAATATATTTTTACATATAATACATATTTTATAAAATGTTATTTAAAATTATAATCCTCGGGAATCTCCAATTAATGGATGTTCTCACATTTTTAGGATATCCTAATAATATATATAATATAATATAAATCGATATTTTGAAAAAGTAAATAAAAAATTAAGATACTCAAAAAAAAATAGAGAAAAGTTATTTAGTACAATGAAATTTATAAATTAAAAAATTAGTAGATTTATAATGCAAATAAATATTTTAAACAGTATCATTATAAAAATATTATATATATTTTCTTTTTCACTTCTTCATTATTTCAATTTCATTTTTAATTCATTTTCTTTATTTTAATGCATATTATATATATAACGTATAGGTTATAATAAAAAATAATTATAATCCAAATGCATGCTATATAAAAATTATCATTAATTATTTATTATATTTGATAATTCATATACAAACATAAATGTAATATTAATTTTATATTTTATTGTTGATAGCTATTTCTTTAAGCAACGAACGTATTAAATAAACTTTCATACATATAGAAGATTTCTATTTCGAATTAAACAATTATATTAATTGCCACTATTCAATGTCTCATTAATTTTAAAGTTTTTTAAATGAAATCGTGATAAAATACAATGTCAAAAATAATTCATTATTATTTTTAGTACAAATTTTTTTAGTTTATTTTATATTAAATACTTTCTTAATATTTTTATTTATTGTATGTAAAATACAAAGAATACTTATTTTGTTTTATTATGTTTACTTTATTAATTATAGAAATAGTAATATCATGATTATGATTTCATTTTTCAATCATTTATCCAAGTTTCAAATGTATTCATTCCATTCTGAGCAATGAGATTTTTGTTCATTTTTTCTATTATTAAAATAAATTCTTCATAGATGCAGACATTTTATGATAAATAATTCACTCTGGTGCAAGTATGCATCAGATGATTTATAATCAAAAAATAATAAATGTTATTACATAATAATATTGGTTTCGCCCCGGTGTTGAGATTAGTCGCGTGTAGTCTAATCCAACCGGCGATGGTTTCTTTTGAGATTACTATCTCTAACTCGAGAATTCTGTGACCGTGTCCGATCGGAGCACGGTTTACAATGAGGGTTGACTGCCCGAGAATGGTTCGGTAGTATGAACTGCCCGAAGGCCTAATCGATAGTGAGCGTTAGCCAGGAAGAAAGTCGCTCAGGTGGACTCTCTTCCTGGCTAATTGGGAGTGTCCCAATTATAAGTGGGGAAAATGTCAGTGCTGTAATTGGGGCCGATATCACCCGATGCGCGATGTAGGTGCAGGGCGGGCGGGCAAGTGTTTGGATCCAGAACATTCGACGGTCGAGGCGAATGTTTTGGATAACCTAAGCAAAAACCTCAGTTGTTTTTGCTCAGGCTTACCGACGCTTCACCGCGCGGTCGCGGGGGGTCCTCGACTGAAACTTTCTGGAATGTTCTGTTTACAGGTCGCGACGATGCTCATGACCATTCCGCCCGCCTTGAACCGCTCGCATTCAATTCCTCGTGTGGTTGGTCCGGTCCGGCTGTTCGTTGTGACTGGGAGGCGCTGGGTCGTCCACAGGTAGAAGACAGATCTTGGCCACTGGTCTGCTGAGGGTGCCAGTGCTAGTACGCATAACTCGCGTCACCCCGTCTGATCCTGGATGCAGCTGGACTATTCGGCCTAGTCTCCATCGCTGTGGCGGAAAATTTTCGTCTTTGAGCACGACTAGCCTGTCCACCGTCATGATCTGAGGCACTGAGTCTCGCCATTTGGATCGTTGCTGGAGCTAGTGCAGGTAGTCGCGCTCCCATCGCCTCCAAAAGTGCTGTTGTATCGCCTGCAGCAGGACAGGTCTGGACAGGCGACTAATCTTGACGTCCGTGACATCAGGATGGATTATATCAGTGATAGGATCTCCCGTGAGGAAGTGTCCTGGAGTCAGGGGATCGAGGTCTCGTGGATCCGACGACAGAAGATGCAGCGGTCTAGAGTTCATGCACGCCTCGACACGAACCAGCATGGTGTTGAACTCCTCGTAAGTGAGGCGTTCAATTGTTCGCAGAAGGTGTCTCTTGGCAAACCTAACTGCAGTCTCCCACAGCCCACCGAAGTGTGGTGCGTGTGGGGGCATGAATCGTCATTCGACACCCTCTGCGATCGCATGGTGACCGATCGACTTCCCATTCCGATGGAGGAACTCGCGGATTCGACGTAGTTCGTTATACGTGCCCACGAAATTGGTTCCGTTGTCTGAGAAGATCTCTCGTCATCACCCCCGGCGCGCGAGGAACCTGCTCAGACAGTTCAGGAACGCTTCTATGGTTAGTTCCGTAGTCGCCTCCAAGTGAACCGTCTTGGTGGTCAGGCATACGAAGACGCACAAATAGGCCTTAGATGTACTCTTACTTTTCCTTGATGAGGAACGGTCCATCGTAGTCTATCCCCATACTAAAAAAGGGTGCTTGTACCCGTACTCTTGCAGCTAGTAATTGGCCCATTTGGTATTCTTCGGTCCTGGGTTGCGCCTGACTGCACTGCACGCACCCCCGAATCACCTCTCGCAGCGTGCTTCTAGCTGAGAGAGGCCAATAACGCCTACGAATCGATGACAAGACTGCCTCGCATCCGGCATGCAGCAGTCGCTCGTGCTCACCGCGCAGGAGAAATATCTTGGAGATATTCACCTTTCGGAAGGATCATTGGATGTCGATGATTGTATGTTAGTGCAGCCCGCTCCAAACGCCTCTCTACCCTGAGGAGTCCCTTTTCGTCGAGAAAGGGACTCAGACATCTCAAGGAGCTGGATCGTGCTAGTCCCCTCCCCGACTTCAGGTCCGTGATTTCCTTGGCAAAGGTGTGCGCCTATAGCCATCTCAAGATGGTACCCTCCGAGAGATCGATCTCTGTAGTAGTGGTCGTGTGACTCTATAGAAGCTGTCGCGTCTCGCCCCGAAAGCCACGCGCGGACCGCTCGGAAGAATTTTATGCAGTAAGTGATGATTCGCGTGAGTCGCGTATAATTTGAGTACCTCTCGAAAGTATCAAATTGTATGTGTGTGTCATGCCGTTATGGACATGCAAACTGGAGCGCGTTCTTCGGGTAGCTCACTCGGTGCCGGGCGCGCACGGGGCCAGTCGTTCTGCCCCCGCCACAGTCAGGAGGGACCATCCCACTAAAGACATGAGTCTTGTGGGATGGTCTCACCCCCCGCGATAGCAGGTCAGCAAAGTTGTCACCCGTGGGCACGTGATGTCATTCTCCTCGCGAATTCGTCTAAATCTGCGCAACTCGATTCGCGACAAACGTTTTCCGATTGGGATGACCCTCTACCCACGCGAGGGTGATGGTAGAGTCGCTCCAGTACGTCTCGCTCTTGAAGCAGATGCGAGATGACCTTCGTACTTTTTCCACCAACTCCGACAACAGCAAGGCCCCGCATAATTCAAGACGCAGCAAGCTGATCGTTCTTAAGGGAACGACGCGTGACTTCGCACAAAGTAGCCGAACCGTGGTTTCCGTATCGTTGACGACGCATAGGTAAATGCACGCGCCATATGCCTTCTCCGAGGCGTCGCAGAAAGCCTGTAGTTCCACGGCGGGGCTGTCGCTGACCGCACACCGCGGAATAGCAATGTGTCTTAGGGATCCGAGGTCTCCCAAGTAGTCTCTAAATTGCGTATGAATGTCTTGGGCATCGACTCGTCCCAAGACACTCCCAACTTCCATAGCTCCTGAAGCAGGGGAACCCACCAACCCGAGAGGATCAAAGATTCTCGCGGCCTCCGATAGGATAACTCGTTTGGTTACTCGGGTGGTGAGTGGGTCGTTCAACTCAACAAACAATTGGTCTGGCACCGGCTTGGGTTGGGGGCCCATGACTATGGATTCACCCGTGGCACTCTTCACAGCCGAAGGCTCATTGGACGCCCATTTCCGTAAGTTGAACTCTGCTGCCCGTAAGAGAGCTTGTAAATTCCGTTTGAGCACGATTGCCTCTTCCACGGTGTCTGCGCCCGTTAGGATATCATCCACGTAAAAGTCGCGGAGGATAGACGCGCTAGCCGCTGGATGGCTCGTAGTGTTGTTCAACCCCACCTGTCACCCGTGTGGTCAGATAAGGAGCTCAGGCCGTGCCGTAAGTGACCGTGTTCAATTCGTACATCTCGATCGGATCCTGGGGGGCCTCCCTCCACAATATGCATTGCAGAGAGCGCTGATGAGGAGCGAACAAGACTTGTCTATACATCTTTTCTATAGGACTACACTTAGGACTACCCGATACATTCGGAAGCGTATTAGGATCGACAAGAGGTCCTCCTGGATCGGTGGTCCGACTTGCTGCAGATCGTTGAGGGAGACTCCCGTCGAGGATTTTGCCGAATCATCGAATACCACTCGAAGCTTAGTGGTGATACTGCTTGCTTTGAGCACCGAGTGGTGCGGCAGATAGAAGGCAGATTCGGTGGATACCCGAATGGTTACGTCGACCTTGGCCATATGACCCAAGACTATATAGTCCTTCATGAACTGCACGTATCGGTCGCGCAGTTCAGGCGCATTCGCGAGTCTCCGCTCCAGTGCGCGAAATCTTTTTTTCGCCATCGCGCGCGAGTCTCCCAATTCGTGCACGTCTCTCGCGAAAGGAATGATAACTACGTATAGGCCACTCGGTTCCCTCCTCACCGTTTTCAGGAACTGACTCTGGGTGAGGCATCCCCTTTGACACACTCTCCAAATCCCAGAATTGTGACAGCTGATGACTCAGCTCTTCGTTCGTAACGACGTTGCGTACTGTAGATACGTGGTACGTTGGACAACCGTCCGCCGAATACCCATCCTAGTTACGTTTTTAGGGGGCTTGAAAGCTCCTTCCCCAATCTGATCCGTCCCACGGACATGATATCGCACAACTGGCCATTGCCAATTATGAGATCCACCTCGCATGGAACACCAAACTGGGGATCCGCCAAAGGGATCTGCGACGGAACGTGAATCGCGGATTCTGGGATCCAGGTGGCGGGTATATCACCGGTAATTGTATCCATGATCAGGTACGACAGAGTAGTTTGGAATCCGCTGCACCTTGACGATATCTGTATCAGCGCTGAACCGAATACCGGTCGACGATCCCCTGAAGAGTTGTCCGATGCGCCTTGCAAGGCAGATTAAGACGTCGCAAGAACTTGATTATATCCACTTTGATCGAGTAGGGCTCGGCATTCATGTCTGCCACCGTCCTTAACGTAGACAATGGCAGTGGGTAACATGACCTGGAATCCCCATCAGATCGGGCCGCGCAATAGTTCTGAGGAGTGGTATTCACAAGTGCCTCCGCCACAGTATGGTCGGTGTTGTTGTAGGTTTCTTCCCCACATGGAGCAAAGTGTGATGCTTTTCCTTGCATTGCTTACACGAGTCTCTGCTACACTCCCTAGCTCCGTGTTCCGGATGGAGGCAGTTGAAGCAAATCCTCAAATGTTTAGCCTGAGCAATGTGAGCGTCAATCGCAAGTGTTTTGAATTTTTTTTTTTGCACTCCACAGTAGGTGCTTCGAAGTACAGTGCGGGCAAACCGGGGTCTCCCTAATCACCAAGGCGACAGTTTTCGCGCGCGATCCCCCCGACGACGGTTTTGATTTTGGAGTGCCCGCGCGATTCTCCACGGCGGACAAAGAGGTGTAGTGTCGCTTGAGGAAGGCTTGCATGTCCGAAAGAGTCGCTAGCCGATCCAGCCGATTCAGGTCCTGCACCCAGCTCTCAGTTATTTGTGGGTGAAATCTGTTCTCAAGAAAATATAGGATCATGAAGTCTCAGGTTTGGACCGGAGGCCCCAAGTGATTTCAAATCTGCCTTGAGTTGGGCAGTACTCGTTAAAGAGCCGTTGCAGTTCCGCTACCGAGTATGATCACATCTCGGGAAGCTCGAACAACCGTCCCAAATGGTGCCTTACAATGGCGTTAGTTTGGTCGTAGTTGCTACGCACGAGTTCCCAGACATCCTTGTAATTATTCTCGGACATCGATACCGATTCCAGAACCCGCTGTGTTTCACCCTTCAGGGCTGTTTTGAGGTACTGGAACTTCTCCATGTTGGTGAGTGAATCATCTCAATTAACCATCGATTCGAAGCTGAAATAGATGGCGGAAATAGATCCACTCACCCAAGTTGCCGCTATAAGATGGTATAACTATCGGAGGTAACCGTTGTGGTTTATGTGATCGAGGGACCGATGCGTGCGCGGGCTCATTCGCGGATACCGACGCTGCTCGAACGGAATCTAGGTAATCCCTCACCTCCGACATGATGATGTCGAACGTTGTCTCGAACTCTTCGTTAATCTGGACGTACGCTTCCTCATCCACCGTGTTCCAAACGAGGATCTCAATTCAGTCCCGCACGGGTTTAAACCGATCCATGAGTTCTATGGCCTGATCCAGCCGCTACTGAAGAGCGGACGCCGGAATCAGGTCACGGTTCGCCTCATAGAAGGTTCTAAATCGCGTCAAGCTCGCCTTAAGCCGACCGCGCTCCTCCATGAGTTTGTGAAGTTCGTCGTTCCACGACGCCATTGCTGACCTGAATAAAGGAATGAATAAACTCCAAACTCACCGGAACGATGGAATCAAGACAGGTATCGCCTGTTCAGTCCCCGCTGCTGAGACTGGATGAAGGCCGAAGTCCGCTGTCCTTGATCTCATGTCCTCCCAGTGAGAAATCTCTCCGACGTTGCTGAGTTCGCCGAAAATGAATGCCGGAAGTCCGTTCTTGCTCGGAAATCCGACCCGAAGGATCAATGGTTTCGCCCCGGTGTTGAGATTAGTCGCGTGTAGTCTAATCCACCGGGCGATGGTTTCTTTTGAGATTACTATTTCAAACTCGAGAATTGTGACCGTGTACGATCGGAGCACAGTTTACAATGAAGGTTGACTGCCCGAGAATGGTTCGGTAGTGTGAACTGCCCAAAGGCCTAATCGGTAGTGAGCGTTAGCCAGGAAGAAAGTCGCTCAGATGGACTCTCTTCCTGGTTAATTGGGAGTGTCCCAATTATGAGTAGAGAAAATGTCGGTGCTGTAATTGGGGCACCGACATCACCTGATGCGCGATGTAGGTCCAGGGTGGGCGTTGGATCCA